TTATTATTTTCATACATAATAATAATAAATGAATGGGTTAATGCTATGCTTAACTGATTCAAATTTCATTCACTGTATTATTTTAATTTTTGTTAACATTACCGTTTATGTATTGCAAATTGTTTAAATGTATTTTCTATGCTAAATATTAAAACATAAATTTTCACCTATAATTCTAGTGACATTTGTACTAAAATCAAAGAGTATGCACGTAAAGCGCCATTTCTGGTGCCCTATCATCAACGAGTGTTTGAGAATATTTCAGTATGTTATCCAAAGTCCCTCATTATACCTTCCGTTAAACTGCACACACACATATCTTTCTAGGTTCCCATATACGGTCTACATCTGTATGATAGCGTAATGATCTATGCACGTGCCATCACAGAGGTACTCCAGCTGGGAGGCGATATAAACGATGGAAATCTGGTTATGAGTCATATATTCAATCGATCATATCACTCGATTCAGGGCTTTGATGTATGAATACCAATTGATGTTGAATAACCAATCGAGCTCTATTAACACTCCGTTTTTCATTGTCAGGTATTCATTGACTCCAATGGCGATGCGGAGGGCAACTATACTGTAATAACGCTTCAGAGCGATGCAAACGGTGGATCTAGTAATTCGCTAGCTAAAATGTCCATGCAGCCAGTTGGATTTTTTGTCTACAATAAGGACTCTGTTATACCGGTTAGCGATTCAGCACAGATTGTAACTTGCTTTGTTAACTTGATTTGCTTTATTTAGGAATTTCGGTATATTAAAAACGGCAGACCTATTCAGTGGCTAAACGGTCGACCGCCGCTTGCGGAGCCAATGTGCGGTTTCTATGGCGAGTTGTGTCCACGCAAAAAGCTGGATTGGCGATACATGGTCACTGCTCCATTATTTGCATTCGTTTTGGTCGTTGCAATCGCGCTGTTGTTCAAGTAAACCCATTCAATTTTATATATTTATTGACAATCAATAAACTTCTTTAAAGGCATTATCGCTACGAACAGACATTGGCTGGCTTATTGTGGAAGGTGGACATGAAAGAAGTCACTGTGATTAACTTGGGCGAATATAACAATCCAAGCCATAAGAATATTGTACGTCATACGCTAGAAACTATATAATATAATAATTGTGATTACTTATCCAATTAATTATCTCCCACATCCTAGGTTCAAATTTGCCGTCAAAGTATTTTAGTTGTTGGGGAGCCGAACAAAAGGTCATTCACAAACATTGGTAAATAATCTCACATACAATATATTAGGTAAAATTTAATATATTTTATTATATTGGCTGTAGCTCTTTTTCGTGGTAACATTGTTGCCATGAAAAAAATTCATAAAAAGAATGTGGACATAACGCGTTCTATTCGCAAGGAATTAAAATTGATGCGAGAGGTGAGCATTTATATAGCTGTACTAATGCTTAGATGAGATGAAAATGTGTAACATATACTTCAGGTTCGGCATGAAAACATAATTAATTTTATTGGAGCATCAATTGATCATGGCTCTGTAATAATATTCTCAACATATTGTGCGCGGGGAAGCCTAGAAGATGTTCTTGCAAACGAAGATCTGCATTTGGATCATATGTTCATTTCATCATTGGTGTCAGATATACTTAAAGGCCTCATTTACCTGCACGACTCGGAGATTATTTCGCATGGAAATTTACGATCGAGTAACTGCCTCATCGACTCAAGGTGGGTCTGCCAAATCTCGGATTTTGGTCTTCACGAACTTAAGGCGGGTCAGGATGAGCCAAACAAGTACGCACAACAATTCTCATTATATTCAGCTTTGCTTTATTTCCATTTGAATTCAATTTTTTTTATAAAGAACGGAACTAGAATTAAAGCGTGCCCTCTGTATGGCGCCCGAACTCTTACGCAATTCGTTTCGGCCAGCCCGTGGATCCCAGAAGGGCGATATTTATTCTTTTGGCATTTTACTATATGAGATGATTGGCCGAAAGGGACCCTGGGGGGAGACTGCGTATACAAAAGAAGGTATTTGAAAAACTATACTCCATTAAAAATATCATTGACAGTTTTCTTTTAGAGATCATTAAATTCGTAAAAAGTCCGGATCTGCTGCAGCATGGTGTATTTCGGCCAGCCCTTAATACTTTAAATATACCAAATTACATACGTAACTGCTTGCGTCTTTGTTGGGATGAGGATCCCGAAGTGCGCCCGGACATTAGACTTGTCCGAATGCATTTGAAGGAACTTCAAGCTGGCTTGTTAGTTTAAACACTTAAATTATTTATTATCTATTTAAAGCCATGTATTTTTTAGAAAACCAAACATATTTGATAACATGCTGGCGATAATGGAGAAATATGCATACAATTTAGAGGGCCTGGTCCAGGAACTTTTTTTTTTTTTTTTTTTTTTTTTTTTTTTATATTTTGTTTATTAAGAAATCTGGTATCCTGTTACTCTATGTTAGCAACTTTTATCAGAGTGACATAATTACTTAGCTTAGCGATGATTGTGGTTTTACAATTAGTTATACAATTAGGTTAACAGATTACAGAAACATATTTTGGTGTAATTAACGAAGCTTGTCACCTATACATAACGATCGATTAGGTCGGTTGGGTAGGTCCTCTTCAGTCGCCTTCTTCTTCGCCTCCTTAGCAGGCTCCTCGCCAGGATGTTTGGGTGGTTGTGGAGCTTTGTTGAGTAGCTCGCTGCTTGCCTGTTGACTATGTCGCCCACCATTGGAACCTTGAGGTCCTTGGCGATGTCGCGTGTGCGAATATACCATTCGGCTCCAGTTATTTTGCGCAGGGTTTTGGCCTGAATGATGCGAATTTTGTTCAGGTGTGTTTTTGCAGCTATACCGTAAACTTGAAGCCCGTAACGCCACACTGGGGCAAGGATTACCTTGTAGATTAGGACCTTGTTTCGGAGCGAGAGTTTGTTTTTGGAGTTGAGGAGCCAGCTCATTCGCCTTATCTTAGATTTGATGTTGCTCGTTACTGCAGAGACGTGCTTACTAAATGTAAGTCGTCTGTCGAGAGTGACACCTAGGTACTTGTGTTGACGATATTGCTCTAGAAGCTCACCATGAAGAAAAAGTCCGGGGCATGAGTCCTTGCGTAGAGTGTGGGTAACCGTGGCGCACTTTCCAGGGTTCACTGCGATGTTCCATCTACAAGCCCAGTTTTCAAATCGCTTGAGGTATTCCTGCAAGAGGTCAGTTGCCACGTACACACATTTGTTTTTTGCAAGGATTGCCGTGTCGTCAGCAAACGTGGCCACCAGAAGGTCCTGCCGATCATTCCGTCTGCTTGCATTTGCTGTGGGCATGTCATGTGTAAACAGGCTATATAGCGTGGGACCCAAGACGCTGCCTTGTGGAACGCCCGCTTTTATGCGTTTGGTTTGAGAGGCTACTCCATCCTGCACCACTTGAAAGGTTCTCTCAGTTAGGAAGCTCGCAATGGTGCTAAATAGCTGCGGATTCAATTTGTCCTTTATCTTAGAGAGGAGTCCTGCGTGCCACACCCGGTCGAAGGCTTCTTGGATGTCAAGGTATGCTGCCACCACATACTCTTTCCTGTGAAAGCCGTCCAAAATATAATTTGTGACCCGATGTAGTTGCTCAGGGGTACCGTGTTTGAGTCGAAACCCAAACTGGAACTTCGGGATCAAGCGTTTTATTTCCGGGGTATCCAGGAACGAACCAATTTACTATACGAGGAGAAAAAGAAAACTGATATGCTTTTGTATCAAATGCTGCCCAGGTAAGAGGATTTCCAATACACCGCCCAAAACAAATAAAATATCGATTTAAATGATTCATTATAATTTGTTTTCAGAACGGTAGCAGAATTGTTAAAAAGTGGCGATCCTGTTAAGGCCGAGTGCTTTGATTGTGTGACTATTCTATTTAGCGATATAGTCGGCTTCACTGAACTCTGCACCACCAGCACTCCATTTGAGGTTGTCGAAATGCTGAACGATTTGTATACATGCTGCGATTCCATAATATCCAATTACGATGTTTATAAGGTAAGATTTTCACATTCTTAAAGACTCTTATTCGATGTTTTCAATATAAGGTGGAGACGATTGGAGACGCATATATGGTAGTATCTGGGCTACCTTTAAAAAATGGTAATCGTCACGCCGGCGAGATAGCCTCATTAGCGCTCCATTTGCTTGAAACTGTTGGGAATCTCAAAATTCGACATAAGCCAACAGAAACGGTGCAATTCCGTATTGGCATACACTCTGGTCCTTGCGCAGCTGGTGTCGTTGGGCAGAAGGTAAACGTCCTGAGCTCTTTTTGACTGGATAGTTTTTTTCTAAACACATACCCCAATAGATGCCACGATATTGCTTGTTTGGGGATACCGTCAACACGGCCTCGCGCATGGAGAGTACCGGCGCAGCAATGAAGATCCACATATCGGAGGAGACCTATCAATTGCTGCAAGCCGTTGGAGGCTACATATGCGTCGAGCGAGGCCTGACCAACATTAAAGTAAAAGATTTTTAATTTAAAAGAGTATCCCCTCCTAAATAGATGCTTTCATTTTAGGGCAAGGGTGACATGCGAACCTATTGGCTAACCAAGCAATTGCAACCCGAAATGCGAGCGCTAATGATCAACGACTGGGCACCAGATCTGATTAGTACTGTGGATTCTTCAAATGGCTGCTGCTCAAAGACTAGAGGTGGCGACTTGTCTTTGTTGAAGTTTCCAAATATGCCCATGAACATGAGAACAGGGTCATGTAACTGTGCTACCAAATCCTTATACAGCCGGCGTTCCGACGATAATGTTACCACCTCGCACAAAGCCTCTGCGCTGTCAAAGGTCACAGAAACAGTGCAGATCAATTGCAACCAATTGTGCGTCTGTCGATTGAACGGCAGCCAAGTGTTGAGCAACCGGAGCCCTCGCTCGGCTCCGAGCATCTCATTTAGGCTCTAGACCTGAGCTGCTCTGAGAACAAATAATGGAGCGATCGTGTCACACGGTTCTAACCTAAACATTTATTAATGTCTATCGGACATTTTTATCGCAAAATACTTAAATAAATGTAAGCGTTGTTAACCCGTAACCCATGCTCCACTGTCTGCAACCGACTGTAACCCATCAATTGTCGATTTTAAAGTTATTTTTAAGCGCCTGCCAGCATTCGTAGTACTGAGCATCTAATTTCTGGCACGTCTCGACGCCCCATTTAGTAACGGCCAAACTAAGTGACGACTCGAACATAAATGCCTATAAAATTTAAAATGAAAAGTGTAAATTTGAAGTGTTAGACATGGCAGTTAAAAAACCGACAAACCTGTGTTCCCTCGGCAATGCGTTCAGGTTTAAGTTCAGCATTCGAAGCACCATCAAAGCATTTGGCATCAGGACCATGCGGAGTCATCATCGAGTGTAAAGTAGCACCACCGGCAGCAAAGCCCTCCTCCTTGGCTTCGTAGCGGCCGAGTATGAGACCCATGAATTCGCTCATGCAATTCCCTTCAAGAATTTTCGTTTTACTTACTGACAAGTGGATTGCTTACAATAATGAATACTGACTGTGATAATAGGGCGGACGGAAAGTGTGCTCCTGGACAGACCAGCGCGGAGGGAAGATAACAAAATCGGCTATGGCAGTACCCGGCCTTAAGCTCGGGCAGGTAAGCACCGTAAAAATACTGGGATCGCAGTGATCAAAGCTAACCGAATTAATTACCATAAATTTCGATAGATCGTATTTGTAAGGCACATAATTGCCATGCCAGGCAACTACATCAAAAACAGTGTGTTCCTGTTCTGCCTCAAACAGGCTGCCTTGGTACTTGGAAATCACGCGAAACTCTATAAATAAATCAAAATGAAAATAATTAAATCAAGTGGAAAGGGAGCACTAAACGTACCCTTAAAATCCGTATTATCAAACCAAGCAACTGGTGTTTCAAAGTCCCTTGGATTGGCTAGACCATTTGCCCCAATAGGACCCAGGTCGGGCAAACAGAAATGTCCATCGAAAACCTCAAGTATGTAACCTCTAAAGTTTTTAAAAACATTTTAAAGTTATTACCAAATACAAGAGAAGCTTGTATTTAAAATATACACTCACCTACTCGGTGACTTGACTCTTACGGCAAACCGTATGCCTTGAGGAATGACACAGATTTCATTTGGGGCCACCGTCATTCGCCCAAGCTCGGTTGTTATGTCCAGAATGCCCTCTTGTGGCACTGAAAATCCATTTATTATTCCAAATCAAAAGTATAATAATAGCCGTTTGTCCCACCTATGAGAAAATCGCCATCGCTGTTGTAGAATGCAGAGTCGTCCATAGACACATTGCATAGGTAGATGTGGATGGCCAAGCCGTGCCGTGCTCTTATATCGCCGGCACCGCAAACCGTGTGAAGTCCCTCAACAAATGTAAGGCTTTTTTGATCCCGTGCCGGTATATCAAATGGTTTCCAGCGCATCTGATCATTTTTAGATAGAAGTCAAGCTCATGAAATGTTGTGCAACAAAGCTAAACTCTCCGCATACCTGGTTAGGATTTGGAGGCTGCTCACCCCAATTGTTGCTCAAATATTTTGCACCGCTAAACGGTTGAAAAGGCTTGTGAACGGCACTGGGCAGCTTCCTATAAAGCCAAGTTCGCACATTTTCAGAACGTGGCGCAGTGAATGCGGAACCGGATAACTGCTCCGCGTAGAGTCCATAGGGGCACTGCTGTGGCGAATTCTGCGCCACTGGCAGGGAGTTTGGACAGCGTTCGTCCTCTGACGAGAAATGGCCGCCAAAACCTGTTAAATACTATAATATACAAGGCATTAGCTATATGCTTGGCTTAGTAAATCACACACAGAAAACCGAAGGAAAAATCATCCGAAACATTTCCGATTAAGGATTATATGGGTGGTGCTGTCCGACACATTTTTCAATATATTTTTCATCTCTTTGAAAGTAACTTTTTTATTTTCACTATTTTTTTTTTATATCAAGAGAACTCTACGCATTGGATTTACCTTGTATTGCGACATGTGTGTAGCGGAGGGAGAGAATAACAGACTATTGCTGCCCGAGCAGAGATCGCAGCTATTTATATGAACTGTGTCTGTCTTTAATACCCTATAGGGGAAATGAATAGAGCATGCTAGGTTTTGGTAACAACCAGATACCGACCTAGGCCGACTTGTAAGCGCAGCATATATATTTAGGGTAATATTGAGTCGAGCAGACCTTTACTGGGATAGCTTGTTTTCAAATATCTTGTTGTCTTGATAATTCACTGTGGAAACTAGTCGTCACGATAAGCCGGTCCCCCAAAGAGCTAAACGGCACGTAAACACCTGTTCCTAGTTACCTATGCATCTTTATCACAGCCACACTTCTCCATGTTGTTGTTTTTCGTTATGATCTCGAAATCGACATACTGCGCAAACAACAACAAGCTACTCACATCATATTTTGCATAGCAGTTCTGCTGGTTCTAGATTCATTCAAATGGTTCATAACAAAATGTCGAACCGGTATTTTGACCCCTAACGACAAATCGACAAGAGCAAAAAATGTCGATTAGGTCGGTTTCAGTGAGCGTATGATAGTGGAAAAGCATATATTTTACTATATTTATTATTTTAATATTGTAAACTAAAAACCTAGTTTATATATTTTATTTCGGCAAAGTTAATTGGAAATTATGCAGTACATATATTACGTGTATTACAGTTTATAATGTATGTTTTTGTCTGTATATGTACTATTTTAAAATACTTAAAGTACCTTTGTGCAGTAATTAAACCTAAAATAGTTTATAAATAATATGTTTAAAGACATCAAGCGCTTAAGAGACTTTTGCATATTCCAGTTGCAGCCAACAACAGTTTATGGACTAAATGCGTACATTTATCTACAGATTTCTGGTAAGTTTTCATTTCTCATTTTAAAACAAGTATATAAAATTTGTTACAATGATGATCAGTATGTGAATGTCATCGAGTGTTCCATGGTCTTTATATGGGATAGAAAATATGTTCCTCTAGGCAGATGCAATTGCTCTTAAACAGGTTTCAAATTCAACTCTCCAAATACTGTACTCTTTTTTGTTCACCTCTTCTTATTCTACTTCATTTTACATACAATCTCCTGCAAAAAATGCTCGTGTGTCCACAATCTCAATTATGAGTAGACTGCGATTTAACAGGTGTTTACAATTTAAATTATTAATTTGCCTTTTACTCGGAGCTTAGGAGATTCGCGTGTCATGCTGTATATATATATATATATATATATATATAATTGAATGCTCTGGTGCATTTAAGGGTAGATACTGATAAGGAAATACTGCATTCACTGGGACATGCGGTTGATAGGAGCAACACCCAAATCGCCTCTCCTAATCGTGTGATAAATTTAAAACATCATCGCCCACATTATTTTTCGGTATCTTGGCCGGCGGCGGCGCAGCCAAATCGGCTACCGAGGCAAATTCCATGCGCTTTTTCGGCAAAGCATTTCCCAGAAGTGCACCCGGTGGCGCCAATTCGCTATAAAGGCGACTTAAGTCTGGCGATGGACGCCGATGCGAGGAGCCGCTACTGCCATCAGATGGCGCTGGAGATGGCGTGTTCGAGGGCACGCTTGATATGGCCAAATCGACGGCACTAAAATTGTATTTGCTGCCGGAGTTCGAATTGCCGCCACCGGCGTTGCTGGTGATGGACTTGGTGGGCGTGAGGCGTTCCAGTGCCGGCGAGGCTGACGACTCTCTGGTACGCGCGGACGACGGCGTAGTTGATTTTGGTGGCTTCATCATCATGGCCGATAGGGATTCTTGTTGTATTTTAAACAGCGCCGATGGTGACATAAACATATTATTAGCCGCTAGCGTAGACTTTGACAGTGGATCCGGAATTCCGTACTTGCCGTGCTGCTGTTGAAAGAATGCCGCATAATCTTGCATTTTCTCCTGCGCAAGTGCATTGTAGTAGGCAGCCGAATTAGATAGTGTTGATGGAGATGGTACACCTGTTGCTATGCCGCCAGCTGCTGTTGCTGAGCTGCTGCTGCCTGATTTCGTGGCATTGCCTGCAGCAGCTGCCACAGCAGCAGCAGCACCCGATGGCGTTGCAAAGAGCGCATCGAGATCAGCAGCTGCCTTATTCTGGCGATATAATAGCGCCTTAATCTCCGAATCTTGCTTTTCCAATTGCAGCAGCTGATTCAGCATATCAGACTGCATATCCTTTTGCTTTTGCTTCAAACTGACAGCGCCGCCGCCACCAGTCGTGGCCATGCTACCAGCGCCAGCAGCAAGTAAAGCGGATAATTCATTGTGTGCACCGCTCATGTGTTTGCTGCCAGTTGAGGCCATAGCTGCGGCAAACTGATTATTCGGATCAAATAGTTTTGTATAGGTCTGGAGCAGTGCTGTGTAATCCGCCTGGGCTGCTGATTGCTGTTGAAGCTGCTGTTGCTGTTGCTGCTGCTTTTTCGAACTGCTGCTACTAGCAACAGGCGGCGGCGGTATCGATGCAGCCGCAACTGCAGCCATTTGTTGCTGTAGGAACACGTTTAAATCATTGCTTTGTTTGCTCTGCTGTTGCATGTAGGAATCATAGCCCAAGAGTTTGGATGCTTGTATTAGATTGTTGTAGTCGGCGCTGAGAGCAGCTGCAGCTGCTGCTGCCGAAGCTGACGACGTTGTTGCTGATGTGGATTTTGAAGACTTGCTGCTTGTTGGATTCGCAACTTGTTGATTGCCCGTTAGATAATTCAAATCCGAGCTAAATCCCAGGGTTCCCAGTGTAGTAGCGCCCAAGGCCTCTGCCTGCTGCAGCAGCAGCGCAGCATATTCGGGCGAGCGTATCAGTTCGCTCATCTTTAAAGGGTCGTTCTTGAGCTCGTCCAGCTCTTTCATTAGCTTTGTTTTGTAAGAATTTGAAGATGAGCTTGAGTTGGATGAAGACGAGGAAGCTGAAGACTTGGAGCGATCCATCTTTGATTTGCTGCCGGCATTATTATTACCATTGTTATTGCTGCCACTTCCACTGTTATTGCTGCCTGACGGCAGTGGCATGTTGAAACTGTTAGAATAGGCAGCCACTGCCGCTGCCACATTGGGATCACTTAGATTGCCCAGCGTCGCCGCATTGCTGGTCTGCTTTGAGCCACCAACCTTGGCTGCCGCTGCAGCTAGTTGATTTAGCGATGAACTGCCATAATCTTTGCGTTGCTGTTGGAAAAGTGCTGCTAAATCGGCTTGAAGAAAATTGGGCGGCAATTGACCAGCCAGCTGTGCCAAGCTGGCCGCCATTAGATCGTTGGCCGTAGGCAAACACGCAGCTGACGGTGGTACCAGCGGTGTAGTCAAATCATATTTGTTGGGTGTTATGCTTGGGCTATTTCGCGCAATATCACTGACACTGAACTTGCCTGGACTTGGCGCTGGCGAATTGCGTGTGCGGGATGTGTGCGATGATGCATCTGATTTGGCTGGCGACGGCGAGGCACGCACTGGCAGCTCAAACTTGGCGGGACTAGCAGCATTCGACTGTAACTGTATGCTTGTTGGGCTGTCACGCGGAGAGGCAGACTGTACTGCAGCGCCAAGTCCACTGTTTGTAGCCGGCGTCTGTGGCGGAAGTAGTTGACTTACTGGTGCATTCAGCGGCATGGATGGCGCCACGGCAGTTGGCACAGCAGCTGGCGTGTGATTCGTAGGATTTGGCGTGGCCAACGGTGACAACATCCGCACTGGATTCATATTAAGTCCCGAGGGCATGCAAAGCTGCTCCTGCAGCGACATTACTTTCAGTTCACTGGCTTTTTGTTCGGCTTGCAAGGAGGTTTCCTCCTCAGCTTTGCGTGCCACATCATCAACAGCATTCAATTGAATACTCTCGCCCAAAGGCTCCTCCTTGGGTTGTTGTTCCAGTTTTATTTCATTAACTGATTCGGCTTGCGGCTGTGTCTCCGTTTTTACTACTACGTCCTCTTTATCATTGTCAATAATTTTAATGGTTTTCGGTGGTATAAAATCATCCTCCTGCTCACAGTCCAAGACGGCACATAACCAATTCCATAACGCCTTATCATTTTGCTTGGATGGAAACTTCGGATAGAGCGTGTTCTTTAATTTCTCGTTGTAGGTTACATCATTGTTGTAAATATTTCGAAATTTGACAATCTCGCCGCGAAACTGTGTATAGTAATCGACGCAGGACTGTATTTCAGTGCGCACCTCCTCTGGTATCTCTTTATCTGGCAGCACAGAATATTGCATTAGCATCGGTCGTCCATATTCCATGGACTGTTTATTTTCATTTGGTGGCACTATCCATATACACTTGACCACCGATTCCAAAGTAGGATTCTCTTCATAGTAGGGTGCTAAAATATAAGCAGATCAATTTTACTATGGGTTTTACATCAAATTTAGCACACTTACAAATAATTAATGAAACACATGGCGTATACGTGAGATCACTAACGCCACGCATGCGTATTTGATAGTCGAGCTGTGCGTCGCAATCGCGTAAAGTGGGTTCAGCTTGAAACTTGGGATGCGAGTGATACCAGCCAACGAGCAATACTTGATCTTGTATCATCATCTTCTGTATATCACGCTCTACTTCCCCGGCACGTTGGCGATCAAAGCGTGTATTACGACATGGATATGATTTCTTAATTGTCAATGCTGCAAAAATGAAAAACAGTTGAACATGCCAACAGACAAACATGATCAGTTCTTAAGGCCGGACTCACTGTGCGTGTTCATGTCCCAGGTGCCACCCAGATAGCCGCAAACCTCACGCACCGTCAAATGGCAGTGAAAGTCGGCCAACAACAGAGCGGAGGAGGTGATGCTTAACAAAAATGGTTGTAATTTGCCAACCGATGTGAATGGAACGGCCTCAATCAGCATATTGGCATCACTGTAATAACCACATTAATCGATCATATTTTACTAAAAACTATTTGAAAACTTACTGAATTATATTGCGATTGGCTACAGTATTGTGCGGAAATACTGCCCGTTTTATAACAAGATCTGGCGAATCGGTCTTGCGTTCTGCATCTATTAAAAAAAGAAAACAAATTTAGGCATTTTTATCAGTAACAAGAACGCTATTTACAGAAAAAAACAGAACATAACAATTTCAAAGGGCTTTGTCCGTTGATTGACCTTTCCCTGTATTTACCAGCTTAGACTACTCTCATTAAGTACTTTAAAATACATGCTACATTTTAAGTAGCGAGATTACTTAATTAGCAAATTACTGCCTAATATTTGTTACCTGGATCACCGTCTTCAGGTGTCGACTCCTTTTGCAAAGCACACTTTCGCAAATAGGTATTTTTATAGGCATCAAGTTTCTTTCCTTTATACTTGACGGATGCCCAACCGCAACCACTTTTCTTTTCGGGGTTTATGATACGCTTACAGTGCATGGCCCACGCACTTGGTGTTAGAAATATGGTTTCAGTCTCTTGTGATTTTATTTTACCATCCGCCAGTAAATCGCCCACAAATTTTTGCCCAAGATAATCAATAGTCATCAGCGATTTTCCGGGCTGCAGGACATTGGCGGCCATTAGCGTTTGTAATGTAACTGTGCGTCCAGTGCCGTTGAATCCCTCGTAGTTCTCTTTGGCCTGTTCCCAAAAACATATATTTAAAGCGATTCCAACAAAATATTGTGTGGCTAAAAAGGAAAAGTTCACGGCACGCACCTCATCATCATTCTCGTCATCGGGCACATCGCTATCAACGTCTTTTTCGCACAGACTGTCCTCCAAAATGGAAATTCTACACGGTGGTACGTTTTCAGCTGGGGCTATCTCTGCGTCCGCTTCTGCTTCGGCCTCTGCCTCAGCCGCATCCGACACAGACAAATCGCGCTCCCCATCCACTTCGCCGTCACTTACATCGTCATTTGTTGTTTGTTGCGGCTGAGGCGTCGTATCGCCCTCGCCTTCGCCCTCACCGTCTGTGCTGCTGCCCATTTGATTTTCACGCGCTCCTAGTTGGTCGCTATCGGGCAATAAGCCATTTTCCACTCCGTTTTCCATACGCTTATTGTCTACCCTTTAAAAAAAAACTATTAAAAAAAATCACGATAGGCCCAGCAGCCGCAGAATTTATGTATGTATTCCACGACTTCGCTTCTTCTTCTTCTTCGTGCATCAAACGAAGATTGTTGTACGTCTGTTAACTTAACAGTTGCTTCACTGTTATCGATAACAAGCCGCAATAATTATTTTTTGGAAAATAAAAAATAATTATGTATATATATAATATAACATACGGAACTCAAGCATTGAGTGAAGCCGTAAATGGTCCTAAATTCATACATCGTTTAATGAAACGCTGCTAACAGCAAATCAATCGTCGTTTGGAACTAGTAAATAACAGAACCATTAGTGATACAGCTGTTTTCAATACTTATCGATAGTTAAATTTTGCTCTCAGAGAGTGTAGTCATTCACATCGCACGCGTACAGATTTAATTTTGTACGATGCACTGCAAGTTCGCATAAGAAATACTTGGATTCAGTGTTGGGCAATATCGCAATAAGCGGTAAATTTCAATTTCGAACTGCTTATAAATGCAAACTTTAAATTATTGATCAATTAAAAGTAACCAAATTTATTAGTTATTATTTGTTAACAACAACCTAAATAAGTTTTCTTGTATTGATAAATGTATGTACAATTGTATTATAGATGATGTTTTTACACACAGATCTCGTGTGAATCGAGAGTCCTTTGTGTCTGTAGCTTTTGCTAATCTATGGTATAGGTATATATAATTACAGCTTATGGTCGCATAAGTTAACATCTTATCTTATAAATTATTTTTAATTTTTCAAATTTACGAGCCAGAATATTAATGGCAAAAGCCATCAGCTGTACATATTTTATTACATATGAACAGGTTGGCAGCACTTGTCGCATTGAACTCGAGATGAAACTAGGTCGTGTTTTTCACGTGTGACTTGAACTTCGTGCTCCAAATTATGTTCACCTGGATACAATATTTATGAAATTAAACCAAGTGGAATATATTGAAAGCACTATGTATACACAGTTAACCAAAATATTATTAAATTAATTCAAAAACACATATAGTTGAAGAGTGTGTAGCATAAATAAACAACGTGCGTGCTTATGGATATGAATTTGGTCGTGCTGTGATGCTTGCGCTCATCTCTAGATTGAAGCTTTAATTATAGAAAACAAAATAACACAGCATCGATATTTGGATAAGACTTCAGAAGACAAAATTAAATAAAAAAAAAGTAATACACACAAATCGTCGCTAATTCCTTCGTTCGCCAATGTTAATGCAAAAATTCATGTGACTGTGATCAAGTCGGCGAACGATAGCGGACTTTAGACCGAGCAGTGCCGGCATGCAGCAAATTTAAATAAAATTAAGTTTTCCTAGTTACGTACGTAACCATCACCCATACTATTATAAAATGTCTCGTTCGTGTCTCGTTGATAACATTGTCCATACACAATTCACAGAAATCTTTCGTGAAACCAAATTAGCCTCGCACTGCTGCCCGCAACAGGTTCACAGAGACCGACTCTCTCGCACTCACTGCCGTTACCGCTACCTGCTCCGCCGCCACGACAACGATATTTTTCGGCTTGTTTATAAGTTTTGCTCATCAGGTGAGAGGGTTTTAATGTTTTACTCATTATTGTAGTCCTTCATTAATTGGCCTAACAAACTATATTTGCTCTAATCCTTATCAGTTAAAGTACAATGACCACTAGATTAAGCACTGATTGGGGGCAGAGTACAAATTCTAGTTATGGGCTTACGAAATATTTCCGTAGCACATAGATGATGAGGGAAATATAGTTACAAAGATGCTTATATATGACAATCTATATTATAGTGTACTATATAAATAAATGTTTATATTTAAATAAGTTATCGGGGACCTGAAAATTTGCTGTGGAGTTTGAGCCCTTACAAACGAGAAGAATGGGTCCGGATCAATAATCGAGTCCGCGTATTTTGCGATCTTTATATAGATTAGATATACACTTATGACTTTAATTTAACTTTACTATTCTTTTTCACAGTCCCACAAATTCGTCTACTATGGCAGTTGTTGAAAATGTTCAGAATACGCCCACAGAGCGCAAGGCGAATCCGCTTAAATCTTTTATCACTGGAGGTTTTGGCGGCATTTGCAATGTTCTCTCCGGGCATCCTCTTGACACTATTAAGGTGAGTTCTCTGTGATATGGCTTACCACCAAACTAACATGTTCACTTTTCTACACAGGTTCGTTTACAGACAATGCCACGGCCAGCACCTGGGGAGCAGCCCTTGTATCGCGGCACCTTCGATTGCGCAGCCAAGACCATACGGAATGAAGGCGTTCGCGGTCTGTACAAGGGTATGTCCGCACCACTGACGGGGGTGGCGCCCATATTCGCCATGTGCTTTGCCGGCTATGCACTGGGAAAGAGGCTGCAACAGCGCGGTGAGGAAGCTAAGCTCACGTATCCGCAAATCTTTGTTGCCGGCTCGTTCTCCGGCCTGTTCTCCACGTTCATCATGGCGCCCGGCGAGCGCATCAAGGTGCTCCTGCAAACACAGGGCATTGGCCCTGGCGGCGAAAAAAAATACACTGGAATGATCGATTGCGCTGTCAAGCTATATAAGGAGGGTGGTCTGCGTAGTGTTTTCAAAGGCAGCTGTGCAACGATGCTCAGGGGTAAGTCAATTTTTAATTTGAATTACGATTGACCGCGTATCTTATAAGTTGTGCGGATCATATAAAGCCTTAACCTTGAACAACCTTTGTCACGAAACATGTAGTGCTAGGGACAAAAAGTTTATGTGCATACTGAAGTCAATGTAGCTATCTGTCTTTATGTTATAGGCTAAATTTGATGGCTCACATCTAAATATTATATAGTACACCTGTTGAATGTCTTCCAAGCATTTTTATAGATATTATGATTTATTCATGTGATGCCTAGAAGAAGACATCTCCGACCCCATAAACTATATACATATATTAAAGATTAGCAACAACATCCCAGTTGACATAGCCATGTCCGTTTGTCTATTTCTATGTGAACTAGCCACAAGCCATTTTAACAGCTCCGATTTGCCAAGAAAAAAAATCGACATACTTCGATGTTTTTTCATGCTCATAAATCTATAATTAAAATTTTGTCGATTATATTATTATTTTTGTTTCAATAGTCCAGAAGCTGAGCTGTGAATGCATTCGTTAGTTTAGTTGCAGTCTATGTGTACTTAATCATTTATTTTATTAATTCTAGTTAGGTTTGTGATAGTAAACATTCATGTTAATAGTTATATGCTGTTTAAGGCTAAACTAAGTGCGAGTGTGCTTATTGTTAAATCTCATTGGACATTTGCTTGTCTTCCGTTTCTTGCGAGAATTCCTCATTCCGCTGCTGATGCTTTTGCCTAAATATATAATCCAAACGGTTGCGTTGCGACAAATGACCTTTTCGTTGTCGTTTGAGCGATTGCTTCTTGTTGGAGCTGCCCACTTTCTGTTGCTGCTGCTGCTGCTGTCGATGTTGCTGCAGCTCCAGCTTGAGCCAATGGGGCAGGCCCCGTGTGTTGCCTGATCTTGAGGGAGTCAGAATAAGTGGCGCTCCGCAGTGAAGCTGCCTGCGCAGCACATAGTAAACGCTGCGTCCATTAAAGTTAGCGCAACGCGGCACCAGATTCTTGTCCATCTTGTAGCTGACCACATGCCTGCACAGAATGGGCTTTCCATTGATGTCGCGCACGCAGCGCTCCACGCTGGGGCCACGCACCACATTTGTCAGCCGTGGCAGCCAATTGCTCATATCGCAATTACACTGCCAGGGATTCTGGTCGAGGCGTACGACGCGCAGGCGTGGCTGTTGAAAAAAACTGGTGGGCAGCGTGCGCAGCTGATTGCCCTGCAGCTGCACCACAACCAGTTGCTGCTGATCATCGAGCAGACCATTCGGCACATGTGTCAAATTGTTGTGCGCCAAATTGAGCAGCTCCAGGCGCTTGACGCCCAGCAACGCATCCATGGACAGCTCGGCAATGCCACAATGGCTCATGTCCAGCTCACGTAGCTGCTCCATGCCAGCGAATGCATCAAACTGCACGCTACCAATGCGGCCGCGTAGTGTCAGCTGCTCCAAGGCTTGAAGACCCTAAAGGAACGAAATCAAAAGATATTGCATTCGTGACCTTTCAAGAAACTGATCTCAACAAATAATTGTTGTTCTTAAAACTAGAGCACATTCGGACAGCAACTATTGGATTATGAGAGCTTGTGACTGTCGAAGATATGTTTTATCAATTTCTGTATGAGTATGAAAACTAATGAACATCAACAAACCTTAAAGACACCTTGCTCCAAACTGGGCGTGGTCACATTGGCCAGACTCAGCTTGCGCAGCTTGTGCAGCGAATCGAACTGTCCGTAGCTGTTCCAACTGTGCAGCTTCAGGGCTGCCAGTTCACTTCCCAGCTGCAGTTCAAGTGTGTCGTTCATCACCCAAAACGTGGCCGGTAATATGTACTTTATGGGATTCTGTCTCAAGTCCGCCCTTTGTAAGCGTGGCAAGGGCGGAAAACTTAACTCACTTAGGCGCTCCAAATGATTATCGGCCAGATTGAGCGTCTCCAGCTCCAGCAAACCGGCAAGACCCAAATAATATAAACGCGACACCGCATTGTGCGCCAGCGATAGACTCTTCAGGTGTGGAGCACCGCTAAAGGCAAATGGTTGCACCTCCTCAATGCCATTGCGTTCGAGATTCAGATGATGCAATTGTGGCAATCCATCGAACATCTGCCAGTGTAGCTCGTTTAGCTGACAATTGTGTATACGCAACACTTCCAATAGATTCCAGCCCCAAAAGCTGGGCATACGCGTCTGTTTCAATCGTTCGACATGCTGTTCATAGCTCATAATTTCAACGGTGGCATCTGCCTCGAATTGCAACTGATACTTGGGCGTCGCCTCATTGCCGGCCACATCGCTGGGCGGCTTGTATTCGTAATCATCGCTGGGCAGCTTTGAGTGCTTCGGCCGTTGTAGGCGTTCGCTTGCCTGCAAGCGGATCTGCTCGAAATTCGCATGCTGCAGCAGCTCCAGCGGCTCATCGATAATCAACGTTGTGGCGCCCGTGCCGCGTATTTCCAGTGTGTTCAACTGATTGAGAAAACGCAGACTGCTCGTATTCACTGCAATCGTAAACAATACTGTGTTAGTATTTGCTTTCGCGATGATATTGAAAAACAAATCTCCTTTTGGGACACTGTATTAAAACCTGGTTTACCAGCTTTTGTTTGGATTTCTGTTAATTTTGTTTAATACTTGGAAGATGAAAAGCTTTAAAAGCAGCATCATATATTATGTCTAACACAACTTAACTTTACTTAGGATTTTAAATACCCTATAAATTCATTTTAAATCGAAAATCTCTACTGTAAGCTTAAAAGTCGTAAGACCTTTTTTATACCTAAAAAACTCGATTTATTAACTCCTTAACCCCAAAGAATGGCTGCATACATTTTGACTCTTTGTTCAATTTTGTTTTAATCAATCGCGTAAGGGACTCTTATCCTGTTAAAATTGTATAGTTAAATGCCTAGTTTTGCAAAAGCCCGAACCCACCTGTCAATTGGTTATCCGGGCTGCCCGTATGTAGAAGGACTAAAGCCTGCAAATCAATGGGCAAAGCGCTGAGCAAGGCCAGCGTCTCACTGGCTTCCTGTAGCAGGCAAGTGGCCAGTTTGATGTGGGTAGTCAATGGGAAATCGGTGTCATCAGGTCCTTCCTCCGCGCTGGTCATGTAGTTCACCCAGCGTGCTATGGGCAGCTCATTGAATGCGGCATATTGACAGACACAGCTCAACGGGCAGCTGAGCACGTCCAGTTCCACAGGTGCCTCCGGCTGCTGGTCGAACTGTGGCAAGGCTGACTGTGGTTGGCAGCGCTATTATATGCAGAGTCTCACTTATTGATTATATCATAAAATTGTTCAGGTCACTCACTAGCAGCAGCACGATCAGCACATTTATTATTATCATCATCATTATCGCTTCTCACAGTTTGACAGCCACTGGCGCTTGCTACGCGTGGACTGTTTTTTATTTAACCAGATACTTTTGCCTCGAATTCCGTTCATATACTAAAACGCAGCCCCATGTTTCCCATTAGACTGAGAGCGAAATCAGCATTCAAATTTGAACTCCTATTGTTATTGTTGTAATTCCATTGTATTTGTATTCCAGCATATTTTCTTAACGGAAATGAATTTCTGATAGTCACATCCTCCGATAAGCCTTTTCTTATATATGTATATATATCGTTTATTTGTATATTATGTACTGAAATGCTGGGCGTCGGTTTGAGAAGTTTCTCCACAGCTTCCATTTAGCACAAGGTCGCGTCTGTCTGATCCAAAAGTTTTATAACAACCCGTCCTTCTGTCGCTCCCCCTCCCTTCTCTGTAGTTAAAGTAGGCAAAAGTAATAAATTTTGAAAACAATTCAACTTAGTAACTAAAGATAGGATTTGTAGTTATCTTATAAGAGTGAAATTCTGAAATTTCTCAAAAAGTTCTCAGAGAGAGTCTAAAATAGAAAAGAGCCAAATCTTGAGAAAAAAATCAAGTATAGTTATATGCAGATATTGGAACATTTTTTCTTTTGTTAATTCTATAAATTCGGTTGTAGATTTGGGAATAAAAAGTCAAATCTGTTCAATTTTGAAGTAGCTCTAAAAATGTGGGAACAACAACATAAAAATTCTAGGCTATAGTTAATTAAATTCGGATTTAATTGCATTTAATGAAAACTTTTATACATATATTTATTATTTTATTTTGAATTAAATGAGCCAGATGATTATTGGGCATTATATTTTAACTACGCACCTTTTCTATAAAAACCTGTCTGGATTAGTATTCAAGTTATTTGTTAAATGTATTCCAAATCGATTATTGTATAAATAGCAATAATAACCGTATAAATTGCGTGCTAAACAGTATTATTATTTTTTTTCTATATATTTTTTTCAAAACTCGTCTTGCCAATTTTAATATTATGATAAACAAAGTTGTTATCTATATTATAAATTTGATATTTATGTTTATTCATTTTGAATTTTTGCCTCTTTTTCATTGGTATTTAAATTTATGCTTACAGTTCGATCCCACTGTAGCTTGTTTATGTTTTCTGTGCATTGTGTATATGTATGTAATCAATATGTTATATAGTTCATTCGGATTTACTATATTACAACAAATATATATATTTATATATATATATATATATATATTGGTGGCGCCGTTAAAGTCGCCGCTCACATGGAAAGATTTCAATTCAACAATTTCTCACTGTGCTCGGTATATCGTAATTGGCATATCATAATTCCAGAGTCCAAGAAATAAATTGGCATGCAAGAATCAAAAATTCAGCAATAAAAAATTAAAACAATAAATTAAGAATTTTTTAAATGTGAGTAAGCAACAACTGCTGTATTTAGTTTAAATTCATTAAGTAGCTGTAGTCGCTTTATATTTTCAAATATCACAATATACTCGATTACTAAAATGTGATTTAACCTACTTGTAGATCTGCCTGCCAATGGTCTGTATTTCTTGGTCTATGAGTACATACAGGATGTGGCCAAGGCGAATTCAAAAACGGGCGAAATAAACACTGCTTCGACCATATTTGCGGGCGGTGCGGCGGGCATGGCCTATTGGCTATTGGGCATGCCTGCAGATGTCCTCAAAAGTCGTTTACAATCGGGTTTGTTTTATATATTATTATTTTTAACATTAATTCACATAACAATTTTCTTGTAGCACCCGAGGGAACCTATAAGCACGGCGTGCGTAGCGTTTTTAAGGATCTGATTGTCAAGGATGGTCCATTAGCACTATATCGTGGCGTAACGCCAATTATGATACGTGCCTTCCCAGCTAACGCGGCCTGTTTCTTTGGCATCGAGCTGGCTAATAAGTTCTTTAATTTGGTAGCTCCAAGTTTTTAATTGAACATTTTTAAATTTTATTTTCGTCATCACAGGTAGTACCAGGTTAAAATCCTGTCAGGCAGTAAGAAAAGTTTGTTAAAGAATGATTAAAATAAATGTATATTTTTATAAACCTTATGAGTTTTAAGGTTTCCCATAACCTACGCGAAATCTCTTTGAATGTGATTTGATATGCAAGTGTGTGTAAATTGTGGACAAAATCGACTATTGAGAAATAATTATTAATATTTTTCTTCAATTGATTCATATAACTTATATTAGAGGTATCAATTCGTTTAAATTATAAATATCTCTTACCATTTAATATAAGCATAGCATTAAGATTAAGATTACGATTAACAAGCTTATATATCTAATTTAAATCTCTTATGTTCCCAGTATCAGGTTCGCAAGTTGTTTAGCCAATCGTTTTTATAAGATTGCAAACAAGTCAAATATTGTGAAGATTCTAAATTGTCAAAAATTGTAATGGGGTTTTAAGTATTTATTGTTGAGCTAAGAGCAAATATTCTTTGTTATTTATGCAAATACTGTTTTGTTCTTAGCATTTTTTCTAACACTTAATCAATTTTATGGATTTTTATAAAATTGATGTTTGCTCTAGGACTAGAAAGCAACTAATTAAAAAAGTGCTTCGCGATAATCTCAAAATGTGAACACAGTACAACATTTCGAGAAAAACGAGTCCGGTTTTAACATGCAGTGTGATTTTTGAGAGTGTGTTGTGCAGTGCATTGAGACAGCGCGTGCTTTCTTCGATTGGTCGCTTAAATAAGTCTCAAATGATTGAACCCCAGTTCTATTCTAATTATACAGTTAATGCTTGCGTACTGTTCGCATTTAGTTTCGATCTAATCGATATAGACATGTAATTAATATATGTCATAAGCGTATCGAGCGCATGGCAATTATATTGGCTACCATGTAACTATGATGAGATAATCGCTTGCCAATTCATTTTTTTCCAGATATGCCTGCCAACGGTCTCTACTTTCTGAGCTATGAGATCTTAACGGATCAGTACAAACGTCGATTTGACCGGCCCAATGTGGATTTAATGCCGGCTATACTTGCAGGAGGACTGGCGGGAATATTTTATTGGATCGGCGGTATGCCCGCTGATGTGCTCAAAAACCGGCTGCAATCCGGTGAGTAGAATAGTTTTTCTAAATTAATTGTAGTTTAATTTAAATTTAACTTGGCAGCTCCTGAAGGCAAATTTAATGGTATAAGAGATGTTTTTAAAGATCTATTAAAAAATGATGGACTTTCGGCACTCTATCGGTTAGTCTCTTCTAAGTATTTGATCTTGTTATCGGTAAATTTTAATTTATTATCGGTTTTAGTGGCTTTACACCTGTTATACTACGGGCCTTTCCGGCCAATGCAGCGACCTTCTTTGGAATTGAAATAGCCAATGCTTTCCTTCGTCAAGTTGCTCCCGATTTTTAAAATATCCAAAATTGACAATATTTATTAAAGTGCAGCAAATATCATTTTATTTTATTACAAAATATCATATCGCCGTTTGTTGTTTGTTGGTAGTAGAGTAGCATGCATCATAAAAACTAATCCATTTATATTTTATATTTAACCTAGAGTAAGAAATCGCTTAGGTGTTGGATGCATAATATTCAATTACATATTTTGTTTTTAATTTCACGTGGTTCTTCTAGTCTATTTTTTTGCAGTGATAGCGGCTGAACGAGGCGGTACTCGTAAAAGTTAGATTGCGTATACCCTTACTGCAAGGCGCAGGACATTGTAAGCAAGGCTCTGCAAGGTTGAACACCAAATGCAAGAATGTCACAACTTCCCTCCGATGATGGAGCTGCAGCTGCCACAATCTTATCACTAAGGGTAAGAAAACAGAACTATTTTACATTTTTAACAAAAATAATTGGCGTTCCTATTCGGCGGTTATCCTTGTCCGTATCCATTGGCTAAAGAACATCGAAATTGTCCTGATGACTTACTATATACCCAGAATTTTGTGATTGTCAACCATAATTAAGGAGTCGCTAAATTCAATACGGCAGACCGAGAATTGAAAAGCGAAAGGAAAGAAATGTTCGAGCTGTAGATGAAAAATCAGAAAGAAGTGTTTGTCGCTTAAAGGACATAGGTATAGCTTATTTGGAAATTCAATTCCTTAGACATATCTCAGCCATATCCTTGTATGGTCCAGGAATTTAACGAATTTTTTATATATTTTGTTTGGCGCAACATTTAAGTAATTTACAAAGTTTAGCTTATAACTAAAATACAAAATGTGTGTGTGTGTGTTTGTTGTGATCCGTATAACAATTTATAAAAAAAAAAAGAAATCTTATAGTATATATAATAGGAATTTAATAAAGATAAACATTTTCTTGATGGAAAGTAAATTAAATTGTGACAATTTTAAGGCTCACCAGGAACCTATACAAAACGTTTCAACGCTTCCGCAGTCGTACGTAAAATATATTACGAAATTATAAGTTCTAAACTTCTTTTGTTTTAGAATTCGTTGCTACTTAGGCTATCTTACGATCGTGATTATCAAAATTAAACAGCTTTCGCTTCATATTCGCATGCTTGGATATAGTATAGGGCGACAAAAGCATGGGGAGAACATTGAGACCCTTCAGCTCTGGCAGCCGAATGTTAAGCAAGTTTTGCTTTGGCTGCTCCGACTGATTGCTCCATACGGGATCGATCCAGAAAGGCAATTTCTAATGGTAATACACATTCATTAATCATTTATATATCTATATAATTTATATACATGTATTATTATTAGCACTTACCTCCGATGGCGGCGTATCGGGCTTGGGTGGATCATAACAAGAACGTATCGGCGCCACATTGCAACTGACCAAATCATACAAATCGCGACCCGAGTCGAAGGAATGCTGCATCAAGGTAGGCTGCTGTTGCTGTTGCCTTTGCTGTTGCTGCAGTTGCTGTTGCTGTTGCACCTGTTGTTGATGCTGCTGCTGCTGCTGCTGCTGCTGATAGAAGCTGGCCTGACGACGATACCACAACTTGCCAGAATGAGCATAAGGCATGGCCGAGGTTATGGCTGTGCTGGAGGCGACATCGCCAGCGCAGAGGCTGCTGTTAAGCTCGCAAGATGTATTAAATGAGCTGTTGCTGTTGCTGCTGTTAAAGATCTGATGCGAGCTGCTGTTGAGCGAATTTTCTTTATTGCTGCAGCTGCTGCACAGGCTTATATTGGCGGTACCGGAGCTGTTCAGCATTGTGGATGACATCACAGAGCAATTGGCGCTGGGTGGTGAGCATTTGACTTGTGCTGAGCTGGCGGCAAAGTGCTCCTGATAGGCCTGGAAGCTGTTGATCGTCACCTGCGGCTTGTGGGCGGCATTATTGGACACGCTGCCAATACTGCTCGCATACTCATTGGCTATGGCACGGGTCTTGTGCGGAGGCGGAGCCTGGGATGGCGGTGGACGATTGTGCTCGCCGAGCGGTGTGCGTTTGCTTCGCTGAGCCTTGTGCTTGGCATAGGGCAGCTTCAGGGAGCCAAACAGATGCTGATGCGTGGCACCCGTATTGAGACGTACTGTGAAAGGTAAGTTGTCGTTTCTTAATTAGTTTTCTGCCTCACGTGCCGCTTTTTGCCACCCACATCTAGGTTTACCCTACTTACGTTCGCAATTTACATTAAGAGCAACATCGCTGCGTTCCTGTGTGGGTCCCATGTTGATCGTAAAGAGATCATCGTGAGCCACAATAACTGAATACAAATTGGGAAAGCCAAACTCGAAGGTGGTGGTCAGTCCACAGTCAAGGGCGCTCTTCAGCTCGTACAAATACATATTGGGACGTTGCTCCAAAAGACGCACAATGGACACCAGAAACCGCATAAAGCTGGTAAGTCGCACGCAAGGCTCATCCGCCTCCACGTAGATCTAATACAATATAAGAACTTCTATAGAGTCAGGGGGTTGTAAGTCCGTTGCCATGTCTTACCTCTATGGCATGCCGCATGGCATGAAGTGTAGATTCCGTCAGTTGTTGCTTGTGCTTTGCATTGAAATCGCTAGCGAACTGCGCCTGGCTGAGCGGCTCTGGCTTTGGTGGTGATGCGGGCTCTCCAGGAGCTGCCGCAGTATTTGCCATCGCCTCACGCTGCAGCAGCTGCTTGCAGGCGCGATAGCATAGCTGGCGAAATTCCACATCGTCGTTGTGGCAGATCAGCCAGGTGGCCTGCTCCTTGTGCACTATCTCGACATAGGGCAGTAGCTCAATGGCGCTGGCTATGTCTGGTGCGCCCAATGTTTGCGGCTGCATTTGATAACCATATTTTTTCTTGTGCAGCTTGAGCACCTGCTCAAGCTTCATACAATTGGTTGAGTTGCCGGTAACATTGCGAATAAGATCCTCGCACTGCTCGGCAAACACACGTCTAGCCACCTTCGGCGATAGCACAATCTTCTTGTCCTCATCGCTGGTCATCTCGAGTTCGACCACGCCGTGTATGGCATCCATGAGATCCGCCAGCTTGAGAAAACCATAGTCGCTCAGGCGACACTGATAGGCGAAATGGTAGTGATAGGAGCGCACAAACTTCTGAAAGAGTAGGCTGTACTGCAAAGCGTTCTGGAAGAGCTCCACCATCTCGCCAGCGAATACACAGGTCTTCTCCAGCTCTGTGTTGGTCTGCTTGCGCTTGGGAATGGATATAAGTATATCCTTGCCTTGCTGCACTGTGCTGAGCACAACAATATTGCTATTGACCAGGCCGTCCAAGATGTCCACAATGTCGCACACACCATAATCGGTGACATCAAAGTTGCGATTCTGGGTCTGGGAAAAAATTCCAGGCAGTTGGGACAGAAGCACCGAGTTGTTGCCGTGGGCGCGCAGCACACGCAACAAGTCCGAAGTGAAGCGTCGGATCTGGGTGCGATGTGTGAGAGTTATCTGACGATTCTCGCCATCGCCCATGATCTGGACCACCGATGACAACGCCTCAAAGAGCTCAATCAGCTTGGTATAGCCATAGTCCGCAACGCGGCACTGCTTGCCAAAATGGTTGTGATAGGCCGGGATGAAGCGATTGAACTTCATCGTGGACTTGGGCGACATTTTTACCAGTTCGATAACCTCGCGTGAGATTTGAAAAAGAGGATCGGCCACAGAGTTTTTAAAATAGCCGCCAGAACCGCCGTTGCCGTTGCCGTTGCCACGATCAGTGCTATTAAGGCTGGCATTGGCCATGCCGACGCCAGTTGTGGACACCTCCTTGTTGAGCTCCAGCCAGCCGAGAATCTTAATGCCAAAATTGTTCACTTGTATCTGTATGCCCTGGACACAGCAAACGAGATGCTCCAGATTAACGCCGCTCTCGTCGGCCGCAATTTGCACTTTCAACTGACTCTCGATGCAGTGCAGCAGCGTAGCCACGGGTATATCGCCCGGATGATGCTTCAGCAGCGGATAAATCAGCTGCTGTATTTCTGCAATGGTCATGCACACATTGGGCAGCGGTTCGATCTCCTGCTCTGCCCAGCCCTTGTGCTGTTCCCGCTTGAAGTGCACCGTGCAATAGGGCACACTGTGCTGCAGTCCCTCCATCAGTGGTGAGCTCTCCAGCGTGTTGACTAGCTCCTCTTGCAAACTGATGAACTGGCCCTCGTTGTTGTCCGACTTAATAGAGCAGATGTCCTGCATCTTGTACAAATCCAGGACATTGATTGAGGTCTTAAAGCGCGACTGGAACAGCTCGCGGAACTTATACATAGGTAATGTATAGTACGGAACATCCTGTGGGTAGGCAAGTCTGATTAGTTTGGGAAATTTAAAGTTTTCAAAGCAAAGAAGGAGGACACGCTTAAATGTGGGTTTAAGCTGGCATTCAACAACTTCAAAAGGTTGATCCGATTATTGATAAAAAATTAACAAAAAAAAAAAGAGGAACATTAAAAAATTGTAAGGCCAAATCCTATATTTAACACCTGCCTTCAACAGTCCAGCAACCTGGCAGCGCAGTGTATTGACCTCGGTCAGGGATGAGTCGCGCGTGTAGCTGACCAGCATGCGCTTGTGGCCAATCTTCTTGCGGTGCAAATTGGACACCACTTGCTTGGCAAACTGTTCGAGAAGTTATTATCATTGTTATTATTGAAAAGGTTTTCCGGCTAAGAGCGCAGTCTTACATAGAGATCCGGTACGGTGACTTTGGCATAGCTGCAGGCCTCAAAGTTGAGCGACACGACGGGCGTGATGGGCTTCAGTTGGCTCATGAGGAAATTGCGCAAACTGGTCTCGTCCAGCGAGTAATCCAAGTTGGTAATCTGCAGTGTGACCGCATCGCTGGGATCGGTAACACTTGCATAGGCATGCCCGCCGCTGGCTTCGCCGGCAGAGCTGCTGCCGCCGCTATGGGTGGACATGGTGGAGGCGCCCGAGCAGGTCAGGGGCAGCATGCTGGGCGCCATGGTGTTGGTCAGCCCGTTATTGTAGCCGTAATCTGCATCAGCGGCGGCAGCGGTGCTGCTCGCAACGGAGACATTGGCCGGCGGCAGCGCAGCGGGCGTGGCCAGCGGTGTTGTGTGCTGATAAATGGGCGCGAACGATGGCTGATAGCTGTTCGCAAATCCGCTGCCACTGCCCGGACCCGCAACCGTCTGCTGATGATGTTGATTAATCAGCGGATGACCGGTGACCGCCGCAACTGCAGCAGCCGCTGCGCATGCCCGATTGTGATTATAGGGCATATAACGGTTGCGATTGTAGCAGGAGGCGCTGCCATTTACATGCGCATATTGGCACACCTCCAGCTGGCCGCCGGGCATGGTCGAGCTCGCTGGCGGCCCACCTGTATACTTGTGCGGCAGCAAGCCCGGCGGTGGGGTATAGCCAGCCAGTCCGTTGAGGTATCGCAAGCCAGCTCCTCCGCCAGGATTATTATTATAGTCCGCACAGAGGACAGTTGGCGGCAGAGCCGTCGAATATAGCTGCGTTTGGCCTGCATAGTAGGCGGGGTTATCACCGCCCCCCTCGCAGGTCCAGCTGCAAAGTAGAAATTGTATAACAGATATGAAAAGATAATACCGATCGTATTGGAGCAATACACAAATATGATGTTAGTCTTAGCTTCTTAATGAAGAAACTACAGGGTATCTACGAGAAGATACCCTCTCTCGCTTTTGTATATCTAAAAATGCATAAATTCAAAAGATTTGAATGTCGTGATCAACTTTATTTTAGTTATAAAAATGATTTTTGCCAAATCAGGTTACCAAAGAATACCCTTTACTTGCTATTGCTAAATATTCTGCTGATCCGTTTTAGAGAACAGAAATTCGTAATGGCAAAAACATGTCTTGCTTAAAAAGGCGTTGTACCCAAGTAGCTGTTTATTTCGTAGTGTTTATTAAAAATATCTCAATTACCGATGAAAGTAGTACTTACCTGTACAAGCGTTCGGTCATGTCGTATACTTTGAACTCGGGGAACTGGAATTGAAATTGTTATTTTTTTTTTTTACGTTTGGGCTTATGCTTTGGGGCTCAAAGTTTATCGATGCCGGTGCTTGGCACCCAATAGACACGTGCTAGCCGTTTCTCTGGAATTCGAAGGCAAAAACAGAAAAACCCATAATTGAATTATATTTATATGCATGTGGAATTATGCGTTCCAGTTTCGTTCCAGCTCAATTTAAATCAAAGTAAATGAAAAGCTTTTCATTAATTAATTGTCAGCAGACAGCAGATATCAATAAAACTTTTCACAATAAACTATTTGCATAAGAACATCAATAAAAGCTAGTCGGAATGCTCTCGTTGCGTGAGCTGGACTGTAAAATACCCTGTAATTGGAAGTAAAGTTCCGAAGCACACATTTGTTGCAGCAGCACGTAAATAAATGTTGTTAATTACAATATTTATTCATTTTTGAGGATAAAAGATTCGTTTTTGTTACACACTTCTGGATAGCCTTGAGTAAAATACAGGGTATACATATACAAATATTGTACGAGTGCAAAATGCAATAAAACGGTTAAAATGAAAAGATTTGCATGGGCACATAAATATAAAAAAAAAATTATTTAATTAAATAAATAAGAAACAGTGCGAAATAAAATAGAATAAATAACCGGCTTTACGGTGTTAATTAAACGTCCAATGTCAGCACAGAGCGAACAAGGAAGGTAATAGCAATGCAAAAAAGGGAGAAGGAGAGATAGAGTGTAACAGCTTCCAGTATTGAGTGACACATTTCCATTGGTAACTGTATATAATAACAGTTAGTTGTTGTACAGTCTAACGAAACTGATTTGTTATTGACATTGACTCCGATGGTCATAGTTATGCACGTGTTTTAGCTGACCGAGCAATTATATTCACATTAAATAACTTTTGAACCACTGTAATTCTGTTAATATACTCACGTGTGCAACGGGAGGGAAACCCAGAAGTGGCCCGCCTCTACTATAATAAAAGCCACTTATATCTTATAACATCAATCGAATCGTTTAAAATTATATTAACAAAATCAATCTTTGTTTTAACTAATTAACAAATTTTCAAAAATTAGCAAAAATTAAACAAAAACAAGTAAAATAAATTCTCTTGAAATGGGCGTAAACTTTAAATAAAAAATATATTTAAAACAAATAAATCTTAAGCTGCGAGCAAGTAGCGAAAATAAGTTTCAATTAAAAAATAACACTGAGGACAAACAAAATTTCTGGCTTCTGGGTTAAGTTTCTGTGTGCGTATCTAGCGGGCAACTGAGGCGCTTGGAAGGAGCTTTGGCGCCAAGACTATGCGATCGTAGTTGGCGTCACACGGTTGTAGATTGGAAGTGTTAAATTAGGGTTACCAGATGGGCGTAACAATAACGTGACCTTCCAGCATGGCATGTGCATCAGAGAAACTGGAAGATGCCCGTGCCCTTTACTTATCTCTCACTCTCACAGGTTTTTTCGTGACGTAGCATATGTACATATATGTGTGTGTGTGTGTGTGTGTGTGTTTGTGGAACAACACAATGCGGAAGTATTTTTTAAGGATTGTAGCTTCTTTGCTTTGATTTTGTATTCCGACAGTTCCAATCTCATATCTGAGCTCTTAACGCACAGAACGAACCTCTCAATTGGCAGTTGGCAATCCCTTCACTTTCCAGGCTATTTGCGTCAGCAGAGCTGTTCTGAATAATTTTTTAATTGCTTGACTTGCCTTAATTGCGGGCTAAGTTGAGAACCTTAGCGGTCAGTTGATCATGTTTACAGGTTACAAAACGTAATATTGTATATATACATGTGTTCTTCTTAAGTATAAGATATTGGTTTAGATGTGGGCGAGCCAGATTTAATGCACATTATAATCAATATATATGGAAATATAAATATATTTAGCCGATTAAGCCAAATGCCATTTGAATATGTGTTAATTAACCCCCTAACCGATAGTTAATTATAGTTAATAATTATTACCCTCATGTATACCAACTACAACTCTCGTTGGTCACAAGAATAAACCAAATCATTTGTCGCCTAGAAAAATGCTTTGATTTCAATTCGTATATGCTATGTACATACATATATATAAATTTGTATTATCAGTTATTAAGGGTCGTTGGGCAGCTGCTTGGCATCCGTTCTGCTGGTGTTATCGTCGCCTCTTAAGAGATCTTAGGAGCTTTAGCACACACACAAGAAGCGGCAGACTTTTCTAGAAACAATTAGATTGAGCATATTAACATTTGTATTAATAAGGTTCAATGAAAAAGAATTATATAAAAGAATCCGAAGCTAAAGTTATGGAATATTGAAATTTGGAAAATTTTGACATATAAAATGTTAAATTTAATCAAATTAATGTTCATGTAACACAGAGATTTAAATTTAACTGCAATATTGAGAATATTCATAGTTAAAATGCAAATTCTTAAATAATTGCATATTCTTAATTAGTTATCCTCATTATTTAACTACAAAAAACAGATATTTTAAAAAATTCCAATCTTTCCAATTAGAAGCCCAAGAGTGTTTCATTAGGCAACATACTTTACGCAGAGAACTTTTGTGCTTCCATTGGAATGTGACATAATTACAGTTAGTTCTTTTTGTGTGTGCTTTTGCAGCTGTGGCCACACTCTCTTGGGATCTTTACTATCGCAGTTCCCAGTTTCCATTCGTTTGTAATTCTTCTTTTATTATATTCAGTGGCTCTCTCGTTGTCGCGACGTTCAACGACTTCTTCGGCTGGATATTTTATTTTGATTCGAGTTTTCGTTGGCTTTATTTCAAGTACTTTCAAGTTAGTCGGTTTCATAAAGTTCACCACGGCGTAGGCAATAAAAGTGTTGTGTGCGTGTCAAATCAAAGATTATTTTATAAAGTCAATGCCCATAAATGGAGTAAATCAATGGAAATATAGTTCAGGGCTTCGTCTAATTAGACCAACGACTCGAGCTAAGCAGCACACATGGACACCAATTGAATACAAAAGTGCAATAAGCTGATTACCAACTAAACTGACCCCATTTAGAGCACAAAGTGTGGTAAATGCCATCGTTTACTGGATGGCTGGCTTACGGCTTCTGGCTGTTCGTCGAACTGTTTGTCCGCCTGTCAATCTGTTTGTCCGCCTGTCAAACTGTGTGTCTGTCTGCATCGAGTGATCACCAGTCCTGATTCTGATAAGACATATGACGTTCCCATTCGACGCTCCAAAAGCTCTTATTGCACATGCAGAATACACATACATATGCATTTATATGTATGTCAATTCGAGCATGTTTATATGTAAATCGTTTTATAATGTGAATATATTTAGTATTTCATTCAATTGTGCTCTGGTTCATATAAATTCAAATTCATTCGATTGCTGGCCGTTGCCAGCTTGTACGGTGGCTTTTCAAATAATTTCCGTATTATAATCTATAACGCAATTTGTGCATAATATAAATTACATAAAATATAAACAAATTATATAAACGATTATCGGCTGAAGAGCACTTTTTTTATTTATTTAATATACATTCAAAACAAAAGACAACGAAAATGTTTTTGAAACCAAAAAGTGAGTACACAAATGTGCCTATTACAATTATTTATTATTAAATAAATTTTGTGTGTAGTTTTATGGTGCTCATATGTATCAATTCGACAATATTCCCAAAATAATATTTCCATCAACAGTTATGAACACTTTTTTGAATTATTTTCTAGATATATTATACCCCCGTTTTAGAGAACAGGGGCCTGGCCTAGGAATATTTAGACAGTTTGAACCTGGCGTATTCTGGCCAGTTTCAATTTCTGCTTCATAGAAATTAATATGGCTACAGTCATATATATATTTTTTAATTTGAGAACTCAACGATTCTATACAGAATAGTATGACAATTTTATTATTTATAGATGTGTATTATTTTCATTTCACGTGATCCACTCAAAACTTGTCATCTTCGTATAAAAGCTTATCACAAGATTTTTCGTAGTTGTTTATGTTTTATATAATAACACCCCCGTTAAAAGATCGCGTCGCAATCGGTGCATTGATCTCCATCTAAATCCCAATCTAAAAGCCTCTATCTCTGATTATGCTCTTGTATAACACGTATCAGCGCTGACCCAAGTTAACCCGTAAAGTATTATATGTCTACCTAAAAAAATAAAATGCATCAATCAGAGCTGTCAAACGGAATTCGAATAAAGAACGCGCAACAATGTTTAAGACGGCGTCCTCTACTTAACTTGGCAAACATTTTCGGGCTCTTAAAAATTCTGGAAGCTCCATTCAATAGCTCTGCGTGTATGTAACTGACCTATGTCAATATTGTGCGGACTTGAAACAAGTGAAAAAAAAAAATGAAATAAAAATAATGGAATCAAAGCTTGATTCAATTCAATAAATAATTGTGCAGATATCACTTTGGGACAAAAATGACAAAAAAATGAAATGGGTAAACATAAAAACAAACATTATTGGCTTAGAGTTGCACTTTGTGGTTGCATAGTTAATTTTTTGATGAATTTTTCAATTAATTAAATATTTCTTACACTACAAAAGTTGTACAAATCGCACATAAATTAGAAAATCTTTCATAATTTAGCGACAAATGTATGAAACCTTAGCGTGATTCCATATATTAAAACAAGTAAGGGGTTCTAGTCGAGAGCTCCCGACTAGGGGATACCCTGAACCCTCTTCTTCCAACATCAAATGCATATATATATTCTATTTTAGAAGCTATATGTCAAGTTTGGTGACTCTAGCTCTTATTATTTGCCAAAATTGCCCAAAAAAAAACAGGATATCGATATCGATTTTTATCGATTGCTTGTAAACGGAGTGAGTTATCGATTATCGGAAACAAACTCGATCTGCACAGGCACTAGGAGCACCTACATCAAAAATGTCTCTAGCTCTTATAGGTTCTGAGATCCTTGCGTTCATACAAACGGACAGACGGACGGACGGACAGACAGACATGGCTAGATCGACGCGGCTATTGATGCTGATCAAGAATATATATACTTTATGGGGTCGGAGATGCTTCCTTCTGCCTGTTACATAAATTTGGATTTCGCACAAATACAATATACCCTTATACCCATTTTTAATGGGTTCAGGGTATAAAAATAAATTTAGAAAAAATTTATGAGATATTTTTAAATAAATGTTTATTTTTGAAACTAGATCTAACTCATCTACTATATATATATATATATATATATATTCATGTAGTTTTTTGCGTCGTTCGTCACAGTTTTATGCTAATTCGAGTGACGACTTAATTTGTTTACTAATATGTCAAATGTTTATGGGGCGGTTGCTTGAGACTTAACGCCCGCTCCATATAATTAGAGCAGGCCGCAATATGGCTAATAGTTAATGGCAGCTAAATGTCTTCATTATGTTGAACCTATATTGTTTTTTGTTTTTATATTTTCAAGCCGCATAATTGAACGTTTATAATATACTTTAGTTAATAATACTTATATATGCGAGCTTGTGATTGTTTATAGGCTTTTAAGTGCTTGCAAATTGCAGGTTTGGCATAAAATGTATTTTTATTGTTGTTGTCGTAATTGATTAACCATGTACATGCATATATATACATATATATATATATATGTATACATTTATATAAATATATATGTGTGCATGCTGTAAGCCTTTGTACTGGGGGATGCTGAACTTGAACTTGGGCGGGCATAAATACAGATTGATGTATAAGCTTTAATAATACCTCCACTGGAACCTGCCGCACAGCTTGGCCGTAAAGTGAGTGTATTTAACATTTTATTTTGTTCATGAAAAATTCGATGCCGTTTATAAAAGTGTTACAAGGTTTCGGGGCTCGTCTAGCGCACATATAGTACGCAGTATATAAACACTTCCAGCTCCTCCACACACACACACACACACACAGACACACATTATTTATGTTTTTGTTTTTATTTATTTATTTTTATTTTTTGGTAGTTCGAGCTCTTCGCACTCATCAATTTGCGACGCAGCTATTTTACTTCATAAGTTTTGAAAAAAAAAAGAAAAATAAAAAAACCAGTAGCGCCCGTTTCCCG